ACCAAGCTGCTCAGATCAGAGTGGCTCAGGTGGACTTGGACTGGCAGCGCAAAGGTGAACTGTTCATAGCCCGGTGGGCCCATGAGACCTCGGGCCACCAAGGTAGAGATGAAACATACAGGTGGGCTCGAGATCGAGGGGTGGACCTCACCATTGACACCATTGCAGAGATCATCCACGGATGTGAGACGTGTGCTGCAATCAAACATGCCAAGCGGGTGAAGCCCCAGCGAAATGGAGAGCGATGGCTGAAATATAGATATGGAGAGGCCTGGCAGATCGACTACATCACACTGCCACAGACCCGCCACAGGAAGCGCCACGTGCTCACAATGGTGGAAGTAACCACTGGGTGGCTGGAAGCTTACCCAGCACCCCACGCCACCGCCCGGAACACCATCCTGGGCCTTGAGACCCAAGTCCTGTGGCGACACGGCACCCCAGAGAGAATTGAGTCAGACAACGGGACCCACTTCCGAAACAACCTCATAAATGCCTGGGCAGAAGAACACGGCATCGAGTGGGTCTACCATATCCCCTACCACGCACCAGCCTCTGGGAAGATCGAGCGCTACAATGGACTGTTAAAAACCACATTGAAAGCACTGGGAGGTGGGACCTTCAAAGACTGGGACATGCATCTAGCAAAGGCCACCTGGCTAGTCAACACAAGAGGATCTGCCAGTCGAGCTGGCCCGGCTCAGTTGAGACCTCCATGTGCTGTATATGGGGATAAAGTCCCTGTGGTGCGCATGAGGAATATATTGGGAAAAATGGTCTGGTTTAGTCCTGCACCGGGCAAAGGTAAAGGCAAACCCATCCACGGGATTGCTTTTGCCCAAGGACCTGGGTGCAACTGGTGGGTGATGCAGGACAATGGAGAGGTCCGATGCATACCACAGGGGGACTTGATTCTGGGTGAGAACATGCTGTAAATTATGCTGTGCCTGTGTAAATTATTACTTTGTTATTGTTAACTGCTAAATGGCAGCTGGACATGACGCAGATGGTATAGAATAAAAGGGTGGATTATGTCCTGGTTCAGCTAGGATAGGATTAAATTTCCCCAGCAGAGAGTGGGAAGGGATCTCCAGCCAGGTTATTCACACCATGCTGAGGTCAGGTCCAGGTGCGAGAGCGTGGGAATTCTTTTTCCTTTGTGGCTTTGGTCGCGGGGAGCATGGGGCTGTCTCTATCCATTGCAGTATTTCTCTGCGTATCTTTTGTCTTGTTTACTATTCTTGGTTTACTGTTGTTATCATTGCTACTGTTATTGTTCAGATTGTTCTATCACTCTGTTATATTAGATTTCTTATTTTAACCTGGTGTCTGTGCCTCACTTCCAGCCTGACTGGCTGAGGGTGGGGGAAGGGACAACAGCAAGATGGTCTCCAGTCCCAGCAAGGCTTAAAACCATCACAGGCCTCTAGACTGGGTCTGTACTGACTCCATGAAGACACACTGGAGAGCAAGTCCTGATGCCCTGGACAGCTGCTAGAGACCAGGATCTCGAGTTCTGGTCTGTGCTGCAGCTCAGCCTGGAGCAAAGTAGTTGCCTGTGACACAGAGTACCTCCACAGGTCTCAGTCTCCTCAGCCATGCCCAGACTTCCATGGGGAGAGAATATTTAGCTCACTCAAGATTAACAGGAGCAGATTTGTTTGTGGAGTGGATGAGGGAACAAAATAGGAGCATGACAAGTGACCAAAGAGGAGTTATAAGCATGATGCAGCTGGGTACCAGTAGCAGGGGGAAAGCATCTCTGGAAAGCAAAACAGAAAAGCAAAAAAGTGTGTCTGGTAGGCAAAAGGTTAAAGGACAGAGATCATTGGTAACCATGTTCAATATGTTCCCCTGTAACATGCACGTGGTGGAAGGCAGGCAGAGAAATACGGTGTTAGAAAAGAATGGGATTTGACTTTATTAGGTACTAGGAAACTATTGAGAGAGCACGAATTTAGCTGTCTCCACCACCTAAACAAAAAGTGAAATAGGGTGTTAGGTATGCAACTAGGGGGAAAAAAACATACATAGCACATAAATAAATAGCTCGAAGTAAAGCTTGAGGGAACCAGCACCTGTTGTGCCAATTCCGTATCTGAAATAAAAGCATCTTCCTGCTTGCTACCCCATCAGTCTGGAAGCATTACCCCAAATCCGAGGCTCCGTGCTCTCCAGCACCCTAGAGATGCCATTCTGTAAACACAACCTCTGATCCTATTCCTTCATTGGTACAAGGATGCCATTTGGATGAATGAACCCAGGTTACTAAATAAATGATTCATATCACTTTGTATTTTCCTTTCTGATTACCATGTGTCAACTGTAAGTCTTAATTATTTCCAGATCATTTAGAAAAATGTTTCAACAGAAACATTCCTCACAGACACCTCCCACAAATACTCTCCTCCTGTCTATACTTAAAATCTGTCAGTCAGCTATGATGTGCCTTATTGATCCTGTATACTTTTAAAAAAATGAAATTAAACAGCTTGTTGGTTTTACTACACCCACTCAGCACAAACCCACTTTGATTGCTCATTAGTATGAAGTTTTCTTCATATAAGAGCATCTTGTACCAGCCTTTTTTTATTACTCTGTTTCAGATAGAAAGGAGGAACATGAGATGTCAGAGTGCTCAGTTCTTCCAAGCACTCACCTTGTCCATTTTAAAAAACAGCATTTGCTTTCTTTCCATGCAGGACCTTATTTACCATCATGAAATTTAGTAAAAACTGTCTTTAGTGGGGAAGAGATCTCTCAGGCCAACTTTGGGACTCTGCTTTGGGAAACTGTTTAATTTCAAAGCATGGGGCAATACATGTTGTTAGCAGAAACAATGTGACTGACAACAGTTGGACCATGACTGACATCACACCAGACAGGCAGAGAAGAGCAAGCCCATCCGTCAGGCAGATACAAGATCAGAGGTGGTATTTTGTTGGGAGCAATAGCACTGTTGTTAATTTATAATTTTAAAAAATCCCCAGTAAGTTTATGGCTGGCCGTATAACATTGTCACCAAATCTGTTAACTGACCCTCTTCCTCTGTATCCTTGAGTCCAGAATAGATAATTAATTCTGTATTATTCTTCCTGAAGAAATATTAAATATTTTCCATAGTTAGGTGATATGTTTCATCAGCATTTAGAAACACTAAAATCCATCAAGTAGATTTTTTTGCTTCCCTTGTGGAAGTTTATTTTATTCTTATGTCACATGGGTTCATTTTTTATGACAACTGCAAAATGGTGACACTAAATCCTCACCTTGTATTATTAATTTAATGCCCTGAAGATGGCTCCAATTAATCACCAAAACAACCCCCACATCTCCCTCACTTCGGAGTTACAGACAGTTCCATTTGTAAATATTCTCCTCTGAAAGAAATTTACTTGCCCATACAAAAAGCCTTAACTGCATTCAGTGGCCTACAACTAGATGGTCATCCTTGGCATTACTTCTTCTGTCATGGGGAAAAGTATCTCCACTTTTTCCTCATATTTTCTTATAAGCATTTTCAAACAAACATTTATTAACTGTATGAATGTGTTTCCCAAACCTTTACACGTAGATTTTATATTTTAAATCTTAACACATATGAGGTGGTCAATCTTCAAGATTTGGGGCTCCCTTTTCTCAAAATAATCACAATTTAAGCTATTTGAGCTCAAAAAAAAGAAAAAGGCACTGAATTTGAGAATGATTCGTCAAAAGTCAAATGTCAACCTGATGACAGAAAGAGCTTCTAACAATGTTCACAGAAAACTTAGTTTACCTTTCCCTGTTCTCTAATGAAAGGCTGCAATTTAGCAACTTACTGATTATGCTGCATAGTTCAGCCACAAAGGTGGATGCAAAAAGACTGAAAATAGGCAAGTTTATCTATTATTTTTTTTCATCCATGAAACACAATGAAAGAACAATTTCATAAACATATAGTTCTAACATGCTGGGAAAGTGTTATCACATGCTTAATCCAGAAAACATATATGGCACAAGAATAAAATGTAGTACATACAACACCTCTAAACCTATTTATGCTTATGGTAGTTTTAAAAGTGTTGTGATGAAATACAAGGTGCCAGCTTGAAGTGATAAGGCTTGGACAACTGGCCCAAGCCAGAGTTGACCTATAGATGAATCCTGTATATTTAATAACTGAGTACCATTGTGCTAACAGGTATTATACTAAGTTATAACAAACCTATTCTGATATAAAAGGTGGAAGTATTGAAGCCTGAGCAACAGGCCCTGAGCCAAAGCTTCTAACTTAATATGTAGTCATTAATGAAATTATGTATGCTCATTAATGAAAGATGTAGCTTAGATATCATATACTCATTACTGGTGATGGATGTAATGAAAACATGTCTATCCTGAATGTATGTATCTTCTCTGTTTAGGGGTAAGTTAACAAGGCCATGAAACCAGCTGTCTGGCCTTGGGACAGACATGTGGCTTGTTTTAAAAAGAACAGAAATAAATTAGATAAGGAGGGAAACTGCCTTGGCTTCTGCCTTGATCCCTGGCCAGGCTCTGGGGGAATCTAATGAGAGTGTGAAACCAGATGTTCCACTCAAAACAAAGATGCCAGTTATTCTGGCTAGCTGATTTTTAGTATATAAGGCTCGGCCCATTTGCAGCGACTTTGGAGACATCACCTACATGTGAAGGCACCGTGTAGGATTTCCAACTTGCTGGGACAAGGCTCTTCAAACCCTTGCTGTAACTGGGGCTGCCCAGCGCTGCGGGGCTTGGTGATAGTAAAGTATGGGAGTGGGGATGGATCTTTCTTAATCAGTATTCTCTCTCTCTGGTAGTAATAATTTGATGCATTACCCTGTATTTTCCTATTTAAGTGCACTATTCTGTCTTTTCTTACTGTATGTTTTCTGTATTATTCTGTTTCATTAGTTATTTTGAGTAAAATACGCCTGCTCTTTTCACTCTGGTGTCTGAATTTAATTGGTATCTCTAATCAGCAAAACACAGCAAAACTACAACATTAAAACTGCTAAAGCTAATAATTTCAAACGGAACAACTGAGGATTAGCTTCGCATTACAAACAATCAAATCTGTCCTCGGTAGCAAAAAAAGCACAAGATTCTGTAACACGATCCACCTTGTGAGATTTAGCTTCAACTGTCATATTACATGGTTCACCGTGAGGTAGGTACCATCCAGAACTGAAGACATACTGTCTATAGCAGCTAATACAGCCTCCATCAATCAACAAATCTAATTTGAGAGCTGTCTGCTTATGCAACAGAAACAAAGGCACTTCATAATACAGGGTTAAGTTTTCTACTGGAAAGATTAACAAAGGTAAGAAAGGAGAAACACTGCTAGGAGTTAAAGTCATCAAACCCTTTTTAACAGACACCTCCCCCCAGCATTTGCAGGGAACAGATTCTCATGTAACTCTCTAGTCTGACAGAAGTAGTCTGTCACACAGAGGAAACTCCAGAGCAGCAGGTTCTTATTTCCACACAAAACATTTGAGGCTCAGCTGGGTAAGACTCCCTAAAGTAACAGAAACCAACAATCGATAGGCAAACTCTGAGTAACAGCAAAGGACTCATCACAAGGAGAGAAAAAAAACCCCAAACCAACAAAGAACCCAGACTGCATTAAGACATTGCACTGTATCTGCTCTCACTACTACCTCCACCACTCATGTTGCAGCAAAACTAGTACTGCAACTGAAGCTGACATACTCTGCCTAAACCCCTCCCTCAGTCATTCAAGTTTTCTTTCCTCACTTAAAAAAAAAAAAAAGCACGAGAAAAACACAGTGGAGGGGACAGCAAAGTGCATCATCATTGAATCATGAACTAACACAGAAGGATATTTTGAATTAATGCACACTGGTCTGCACAAGCATCACCCAAAAAAAGATAAAATCAACAGAAGGAGACAAAAATACTCTGTTTCAGAAAAAAAAAAATGTTCTTAATGGCACATACAACTTAACTGTGAAGGCACATGGCCACACTGAGGCATCCGTTCCACAAAGCTTCTTCCTATCTGAGAATTTCTCGCAGTACAATGCATTTGAGCAGCACAAAACCAGCTGCTCTTACAGGATGCCCGCCTCAATCAGAAAGAACAGGAGGCCTGGCAATAGGTTTGTGCTGCAAACACAACAGCTACATAGGATACTTTACACTGAGAAGCAACAACCTCTTACCAGAATTCCACTAGCCCAGGAGTAACACACTTATTAGAAAATACATTTCCAAATAAATTACATTTTAGCATAAAATTCTGCACGTCAATATAAATGTAACGGGTGTTATATTATCCTGCCTTTCTCCAGCATAAAGACTAGTTTAATTTTTGGTGTCTTAGACTTCGTGATCAGAAAGGGTAGTCTTTCAGTGAAATTGCAAGCGTCAAAAACCAGAAGTGCTGAATAATTTGTTCAGGAATGTACAGAAAATGCATTTTCATCCACATCTAGTCCATGGATAGCGATGTTTTCTCAGTGCTGAGTCCATTTAATGCTTTTGAGGTCAATTCCATCCTGCACCATTTCCCAGAGAGGGCTGTAAAGAAAGGGGAAAAATGAAGGCTAAAATGCACAGGACAACATCAGCAACAATAACCAAGCAGACAATTTCATCAACAGCACAATAAATTGGGAGTAACCTATCTTCATCTCTGGACATCAGTGAGCTTCAGATCTCCAGTCCTCAACTGTGTCCTCAGCCCCAACACAAGAGGTGAGAGGGCAGGTGCTCCACCTCACCTCCTGCTCCCATTCTGGGCATGAAGTATGCATGTCTCTTACAGACTTGAGCCCTTGCATTTGGCACTGTCCAGATGAGTCAGGAGTCTCTCAGTTTCACCATAATAAAACAACTTATTGACAGATAATCTCAGTAATACCATCTCTGGCTGAGAAACTTCTGGGTACTGCCTTACATGCTTGCCCTACTCATAGTCTTTCCCTGACAAAGGAAAGATCAGGCAGAATATCAGGCCCACTACCCACTCTGGCAACACTGCTTGCTTATATGCAGAGATAACACCAGATTTTTTAAGCAAACAATTACTTTCAACTAAATCCAACTCTTCAAATTATTATCATACCTAAGCAGCCTTTAAGTTCAGTAAGAAGATGGCTCACCTCATTTCCCTCAGCCTCTTAACATGCTGTATGCACTTCTGCACTGTATAATCCACTTCTTCTTCTGTAGTGAAACGACCAATACCAAATCTAAACCAGAAGAAAAACATTAAGGACTAGAGTAGCATGCATATGGAGTGAAGAAACAAATCCACCACCTACTTTTAGCAGAAAAAAATGTTTGGAAGCATTAGGAAAGACCACTCCACGCACCTTATAGATGAGTGAGCCAAGTCCTCATCTGTCCCAATTGCCCGCAAAACATAGGAGGGCTCCAGAGAAGCTGATGTGCAAGCACTAGGGAAAGGCAAGGCAGGCAAATTTCAAACTTTTGTTCATGTGCAGATGCTAAACTGAAGTAACACTTCATTAATCTCCAACAAAGAGCAAGTCACTTACAGACATTTAATATTACTATGACTCTTTACAACAACATATATGAGCTTCCTCAACCTCTTAGAAACCACCAGGGAATACAAGAAAGAGTGGTATTTCTGCTGCTGCAGAAAAAGAATGGAAGGGGCAGGTGTTAGAGATGAATGAGGGTAATAAATTAGGAGCCCGAGGTAAGAAACAACACAACACAGTTAAGAATAAACACACTGCCAAACAGAAGCAGCATGAATGCCGACTAAGAGGTATCTGAAGAAGGCCATGAATAAAAGACAAAGGAGCCAAGACAGAACTAGCCAGAGAAGGTAACACAGCAACAGAAACATTAAAAAAGAAAAAAGGACTTCACAAGCTGCTCTTTGGCAGCAGAACAAATAAGTGAAAAACAGCACACAGAGGAATCCAGAGCAAGATGATCTAGTTATAGTTTTAAGTAGACAGAACTTCCATCTTGAAGCAGTAGGCAAAACTGGTTACATGTGGTTACTCAATTTTTACAGGCAGCAACATGCAGCACAAACCAGAGAACTGTTTACTGGTGCACTGCTCTCTGGTGTACAAAGCAGAGCCTCAGAAGGGATTTTTCAAATTACAGAAGTGTTCAGCTCCAGAAACAGTCATGTGGAGACTTGTTCTTCCTGTTCATAGTGCCAATATATTTCTAATTAAGATTAGAAGCTGACCACTTTTTTCTCAAAGGTGAGGAAAGGAGGGCATCTTTACACTCCATTAACTTCATCATAAGCATCAAGTTTGTCTTCATAACAGAAGTGTTACGTGTCACTCCTGTAGAGTCAACGGAGCTCCATAAAAGTGCATTTAGTTTTCTTTCTGCTTTTGCATTAAACACAGATGCTTGAACTAATATAATTCAGGTATTATTTGTCCAGCTTTGCTAGATTCTAGTCACAGTCTGCCACTTGTGTGAAATCCTGCTGAAGGACAGATGCTGCTCAAAGGCTGGTGGCCTTTAAAATGGAAGTGTCACCAGCAGTTACAAGCCAAGGCTACTCAGATCACAGGTAACCAGTCTGCAAGGCTGGCAGGTAAGAATTTCTAGGTTGATTTTTTTGGTTTTGTTTCTTTGGGGTTTTTTTGTGTTTTTTTCTTTCAGGATGAGTAAATCTGATCTTCATTTGAAACATGCCACTTCAGAGAAACACCATTTTAGAATGCAATCAATGCCAGGTTGACTCAATAACCTAATACTCAAATACAGGGCACAGAAGAGACCACTGGTTAGTTTGTACCTCCATTAGCAAATGTTATTTTCTCCCCAAAATATAGTGCTATCCTTTCCACATGTCCCACCTACCTTCCTGAAGAAAGAGCCACGTCTTTCAGAGCCATCAGAAGACTCTCCCCTTCCACATATGCAAAAGATAAATTGATGCATCCTACATGCAAATAAACGAAATAGGGGAAAAAAAAAACTTCCATCAACTGAAATCTTGGGCAAATCCTACCCCACATGGCCATACTTGCACAACGTGTAGCTAAAGTGCATTATTCAGTCATGGCCATTAACACTGAGGAATTAGACAGTTCTAACAGGCTCAGGATTTTGCTAACGTTACCTGGATAGCGATGCTCTCTATCTCCATTCATAACCACATCAGGAACTTCACTCATTATTTTTGTAACCAGTCGTTCTGCCAGTTGTGAGATTCGCTTATGGTCATACTAGCAAAGAAACCAGAAAAGAGACCAAAATAATAAAGTGTAGAGTTTGACCTCACTCAGCTTTGTGTCACCAGCCATGAGCAGACTGAAGTAGCTGGGTTTGCTTAGATTAGGGAAAGAATACATCTGAGACTTAAAAAGAACCTGTCAAACTTTGCTTACTCTAGAGACTGTTTTAAAAGAGAATTACCAATTAGTCCTGACTAGCTCAGCCTTGAAAAATATTCCAAACCATTCAGAAAGATCTATGTATACAACCTGATAAATTGGTTTTCATAAAAGCACCAAGTTCTTTGTGTTTAAAGACAAGTTAGGTAATGAATAAGATGACACATTTTGCAACACAAAAGAGGGCATCTATTATGGTATGTGCCCCTTGTTTCCCCAGGAGCTCTCAAACTGTACTACTTAAAGACATGGGCTGGCAAATCACTGTGAACTCAGCTTTTACAACACGCAACCTATGTAATGAGAACTGCCTGTGTGTCTTGTTCTCGACTAAATAATGAGGTCATTTACACTAAGCAAGCAGTGAGGTATCCTTATCAGCTCCGGTGCACAGAAATGGCCAGATGCACATATGCAATTCATGCTTGTTTACACGTTTGAAAAAACTTCAGAAGAAAACAAGGCTATCTCAAATATTACTTGTTTTAGAAATGCCAAAACTCTGCCAAACAAAGAAGAGAATCCTGACCTGAGGCTTGTGCAGAATTTAGGCTCTGCAGGCTCTCCAGCCTCTAACGAGGCTTCCATAACCACCTAGCTCAGATGGTGGATCTCTGCCTGTCTCCCAGGAAGAAGCCTGATCCTATGTGTACAGATATCAGGCTTATGCATCCCACTGGTGCTATATTATAGGATTTTTACATTCCAGCTGTAAAGAATGCATTGGCGTCTGCAGACAGAGCGGCACACAGAGGCTTCGACACCAAACCTAGCGAAGAAACTTTACTGTTCAAGCTAGAAAAAACCCTAAATTCTGAATTACAAATCTGTAGTAAGCTTGAACTTATATTTAACTGGTATGATAATGGACTAGGAAGTCTTATTTTTCTTAATATACATTACACAAACATGATTTATTCAATTTTAGAGATGTTGCTAATACGTATGTGCAGAATGGAGATTACTACAAGCACTTACAGCCCTATTTCACTAAATCTGTCAAACCCGTTGTAGAAGATCATGATTCAAACCACTTAAAGAAAAAAGACACTTAAGAAAACTGAAAATCAACTTCCAATTACCCAAAACCATCCCTGAAGATCTCAAAACAGTGACAATATTACAGCATGAGAATCGAATTTAATTCAGGCACATGGCCACAAAAAGACCGAAGGAACCTGAGACCTAACTGGCCCTGTTATGTTATTTTCTGGAATCCAGGACAAGTATCTTCTCCCACATACCTCCATCTCCTGCTGTGACACTTCACATGCTGCCCCAAGGCCTACTGCTAAAGGAGTGGGCACAGTCCCAGACCGCAGGCCTCTCTCCTGGCCTCCCCCACTCTGCAGGGGTTCCAGCCTGACGCGTGGTCGACGGCGAACATAGATAGCACCAACCCCTTGAAAACAAGGAAAGCTGCTTTAGTATACACTCACAGCTCTGAAATTATGAAAAGGGAATCCAAGATTTGGAAACATTCCTTATTTCCACGGCAAACACATTCGGACAGCTCACAGGAGAAAACCACAGTGAACACATACAGAAGCACAGTATTTTCTAGGAAAAGGTGTTTGTTCCCACTGTTCATGTTCCTCTTCATTCAGCCGCCCAGAGCCTCAGCCAGGGAGCAGCTCAGTTTCTCCCAGTGTGCTTCAGCCACCTAAGGACTCAGTACTTCCCTCACTTCTCACAGTTCCAGTGTACAGCTCAAGTTCTTCCCTTTGCATCGTAGTTTTTATGTGCAGATGTTCCCTTACTGACTTCCAACCAAAAGCCCTAGAACAACTCCTTTCCCTAGATTACGAGGCCAGCACCTGTCCCAGGAGTCCTCTCCCTTTCTTCTCACTGGGGACACACATCAGTGAAACAATTTCCAAGGAGCAGATTAGATGAGCCTGTTTTAACAGCCAGCAGCATTTCACTCTAGCCTTCCCACCTAGAAACCTGATTTTCATGTCTTCATGTGACTAAGGAGCGACTGGCACCACAGGAAGAATGCTTGAAACTTCTGGTCATAATTAAGTAGTGAAAATTTATGCCTGTCACCTACCCAAAGTTAGAGGTTGGAAACTTTAGTCCTCATCCAGAGGTATGTCTTCAGCTCTCAGGAGAGCTTGTACAGAAAAAGAAGACATATTGAAAAGATCACAATTTTGCCTTTTGTTTCTGAATATCACATAGAATACAGCAAACATGATTTCTGTCTTTCTACATCCACTGTTACATACTAAACAGAGCACAACAGTGATAAGAGCTGAACTTTTACTATTTGAGAGTCAACTAGAAAATCCACAGCTGGATTTTAAACTCCATTCTGCAAAGAAGATGCACAAATGGTGTTGGATGGAAGAAGTCATTGGAAGTAGAAGACCACCAAAATCACAAAGAATTTAAACTTTCCAGTTACCTTCTGATCTCCTAGTTGCAAGTTACACTTGGTTCTAAACTCTGTCCTATAACCCAGGGATCTCATTTCAACTGTTTCAGCATCAATGCTGAATCACACCAAGCAAATGATCCTGAAAAGCCGCCACTCCTAATGCTGCCACCACCATAAGATACTGTTTGTCCTTCAGTGAAGCCAACCCACAAACCATCTGAAAATCCACTTATGGCAGATCTAAGCCTGGCAGCAGTGCCTGAACTACTGCAAAGTCAGTCCAATGCCAGTCCTAGAATGGTTTTCTACTGTTTCAGTAACAGTCACTAGGACATAGGTTTGACTTCATACCTTAAGGTAAGCATAGAAACAACAATTCCCTAGAAAAGCACTTCACTAAGTACCTTTGGGACCATAAATTTTATGGCCACTGATGCTCATTAGATCAATTTTCATGCCATTGACGTCCATAGGAATTTTACCAATTGCTTGTGCAGCATCTGTGTGGAAGAAAACCTTATGCGCACGGCAGATCTCACCTGGAGTAAAAACAGAAAAGCAAAAAACCACCATCTTATCTCATCTAATTGTTATGATTCCAATGATTTCAGCAATGAATCTAAAGCATCACTTTATAGCAGGGACAAGTTCTGAGGTGAAAAGGGAAGAAACAGTTGCTGCCATGTTTCTTTTACAGTAAAGTGTCTAAAGCTGTGTAGGAGCTATTCTAGGTGATGTCTAGCTGGGCACAGGTTTAGGTAAGTCAGGAGGTATGACTACAGTGAATTTCTTCAGTAAGAAGTTAAAAAGTCTTCTGCTGTTAAGAAGTTAGATTATTTCCAAACCCACACCTACCAAGTTTAATACAAATGGCTGCACAGCCCATCCAAGTTTCCCCACAGGGATGACTCCACAGCTGAACAAAATTTAAATTCTTTTCTTGACACTTTTTCTTCTCAATACCAGTTGAGTACAAGCCAGCTTTACGTTCTAGCTTATGCTCACCAAGTACTTTTACGCAATTTCCTCTGTTTTTCAAATATTGCAGTAGTCAGCTTCAAAAATATTCTCAAATTGTCACTAGTCTTCACGCACATTGATTACGCCCACCTAAAAATCACTCAAGCCTGTAATCACTGTTTTTGCATCCAGAGCTAAAATACACTAAGGAACAAAATAATGTAATGTTCATGGGCAGATAACTTAAATATTATTTGGTTTTGTTATCAAAGAAGTCACAACTCATCTTTCACAGAATCTGTACCTAGCACAGTTACATCCCAGACCTCTCCTCTGAACAAGTTTCACATTATTTTTCATTCGACCTCCTGTTGGGCCAGCAGGAATGGCATTGCTACTGCTAGTATCAGGCCACAGGCCTCACGCTAACAGGGCCTTAGGTTGACTCTGCAAGGCCTCAGTCCTGGCCTACTAGACTGGTTATCAAGGTGGTATGAGAACTTACTGTGGGAACCAGAGCTTGGTACCAGATATCTCTGGCATTTAAGTGTCAGACAACAGCAGTGGTCTTGACAATATAAGGACAGGAGGAAAATAGAGTTCTCACACCTACAAGCAACTGACTGATGGTCAGTTACTTCTCAATAAAGAAATACAACCTTGAAGAGTCGGGGGGAAATGCTGCTCTGAGCATAATAAATAAGAAAAAAATGCAGCAACTAAGCAAGAGGAAAATTAGCTGCACAACAGGCTAAGAAACTACAGCCTGGGGAAACAATACCCTCCAGAACCATGCAGCATAAACTCCAGGGCATAGGCCAAAGCCTAAAAACTCAAACATTTTATGAAAGGACATCTTGAACATGAAGGGGGTGGGGTGTTTTGTCACTGGCATAGGAAACGTTACCAACGAATCACCATGGGATCCAAGGAGCTGCGTATGTGGGCCACCTGCTCACCCTACCTGCTCCAACAACCCTGGCTCTCCAGCTCTCCCTTCACCTGCTTTACTGTCCCCGTCTCTCCATCTGCCTGCTCAGAGCCTGGTTCACCTTCTCCCTGCCTCCTGTTCCAGAAACCTGGGTCTGCAGCTGTCTTTTGACCTACAAACCAATTGCTCATGACTGTACATGGCAATGTTGGGGAGGAGGGGTGTCTCAGTGTGGTGCTCATCACCGCCTGTTGCTCCAAATTCTGCATATTTCTCCTCTTAAACACTACAAGTGCTCAATAAACCATTATAGTATATAAACTCAATATGGCCAGTTATTCTGTACAATTTTTTCATCCATTGTACAATTCAGAATGAAACTAGAAACACTGCAACTGATCTATACTACAAGGCTGTAATTGCTGCAATAGTCACTGTAAAAGTACTGAATTTCATCCTCTCTTCCCTTTTAAAGTAAGTTTTTATTTGGGACAGCATTATTATTTATTCCTTACTTATACTACACCTAATTTTTTGCATCAGTAGCACTTGGCTATGAAAATATTAAGTAAAACGAAGCAAGAGTGACAACAGGCAGCCTCTGGAAGCCATGGTGTACTTACCAATGTCATGAATTGGCTGCTTTACTCCTATTTCGTTATTCACAGTCATTACAGAAACCAAACTTGTATCTGGTTGGAACGCACCCTCCAACTCCTGGTAAAATATTCAGACAGAAGTAGTGACTAACATCAGAAAACAGATTGCTGTGCACACCTTCAGTTTGCTAACAAATCTTAACCACCAGTCCCCTAACTAGCACATTACCAACAAACCCCTCAGGTTATGACAAATAGCCATGGATTAGCCTCTCACTAATCCATGAGAACACAAAATTCCTGTAGGAAGAGCAGCACGATCAATTGCATTTCTGTGCATCCTAACCCATGTGTATCCTACGCACCATGCCACCTGACTTGATTAAATCAAGTCAGAACAGGCTCTTGCTATGTCTTGTACATTCGACTGAACTATTTTCTTTAATGAATTAACCACCCACAAAACAGATGAAGTGAGGTTGGCTGTAAAGGAACTGCACTACATACAAGACAGCACCATGCAAAGAAGGGGTCTGCCAGCAAAGCTCTTGGGGAACACGACCAACACTTCTGCACTTGCAGGTCTGATCCCGCTACCTCACCACATACACACAACATCTCTCCAAGTCAGACGATGGGGCTAGAAATAAAACCAATCCTGTCCTGTATTACAGGTCACAAATGATGAAATAAGCACATACAACTTCTAAATCCTAGAACTGTGGCCAGTACACCCAGAAGGACAGGACTGGGAAGGGAGTACTGTAACCACTGTGTCTGATGCCCTGAGTAGCTCAGGTCATGAAATTTCACTGCTAATTCCTGTATCAAAGCCAGCTCCATCCCAGTCATGTACTGGGCTATCTGTAGGGCGTGCAACAGCTATACCTGCATGGGTATGAATAGCAGCAGGGGAGTGGTGGGATGAGAGATGGATGTTTTGGTTGAGAAAATGTCTAGAGCACCACAACAGAAAATCCTCCAACTGTGATGGAGATTAGACTATGACTCTCATTCTACTTGTAATATTTAACATCCTTTTATCTTTATCATCAAGAGAACACAAGGTCCTCTTCAGCATCAATTTGAAGGAAAAATCTCTTCTATTCTCACTTTGTTTCTGTCAGTAAACAACTTACCTTCAAATCTATGAGCCCATTTTTTTTAACAGGTAGATATGTGACCTGAAAACCTTCTGTCTCCAAGGAACGGCAAGAATCCAACACACACTTGTGCTCTGTTTGCGTAGTAATGATATGCTTTTTTCTGGATTTATAGAACCTTGCAACACCCTGTTGGGCACAATTCACAAAGAAATTTGCTTTACAAATTTGCACAAAGAAAATTTGTGTAAAGCAAGCTTTACACAAAAAGATCGGAAACAAGAAATAAGTATTTAGATTTAATTCATTTGGATCTGCCTTATTTTCCCCAAAGTCATGAATCTAAAAGGTACTGACATGTAATTCACACTACGTATTTCCAACAACGTTCATTTTTCAAAGCATCTAACTTTTCAAAAACCTGTGAAAACGTTAACTGATATAAGTTCTAGACACTATTAACAAAACTACTTTTTAAATAACATTTGCAATAGTCACAAACAACGAGAAGTCTGAACAACCACATAGTCAGAAAAAGGTTTGTAATCAGCATCTCCACTAAATTTCATGATAAAGATTTTAATTATGCAAGCAGAAGGATTGTATCTGGCATATGTAAGATAAACATTGAGTAGTATACTCCATCCTCAAAACATCCCAGTATTTCTTCCATGTATGTAGCAGAAGTAAATCCAGGAATGCAAATATTTGCTAACTAGGCCAACATATTAACATTTAAACTGTTGAAAGAGGCATACAGTTCTTAAGAGCATAATTTTAACATAACAAATAACTATCAGTATAAACCTTTTACCTTAATTGCCATATTATTTGATTCTGTTGCACCACTGGTGAATATAATTTCCCTTGAATCAGCTCCTATTAAATCTGCAACTTGCTGTTTAAAAATAAAAATAAATTCGATTTGTTAAGATAAAATACAGTGAATTCACCAAGCAAAAGACATGCTAAATGTTTTCAAGAATACTCTCTTGAGCCTTGAAAGGTTTACAACTAGTATTTGACAACGTTATGTTACGTGTACAATAGTCTAAATGTCTGCACTAATACAAAACACATGAGGAATTCATAGTCATTAGCAGTAGTGGTATTAAGCATTAGTCTGTCATTAAAGAACATAAAAGTTAAATGGACAAAATCCCTGTACACATTACTTGCAAAAAAATTAAGACAACGTATACCTAAGATTAGGAGAATGATAAAATATAAAGTTAGAATTACTGCAGCAGCACACTTGTGACCTCAGGAAATCAAAAATCCTGAGGCACTTTTGCCTGAAGTACTGGTTTCTGCCACTTCAGTTGCTCTAATCTCACTATTTTTTCTCGCAATAAATCTGCTAAGCAAAGAGGAAGCTGCTAAATCCAGCCCACAAAGAACTACAACAGATTTAACATTGCTTTTGTTTTTATTTTGACACCGAACTTCCTCGCTGGCAGAAAAACCATAACGACCGGGAGAGCCAAAGACTAACCCGCCTGGCCTTCTCCACCGCAGCCTCGCTCTCCCAGCCATAGGCATGGGTCCTGGAGTGGGGGTTGCCGTAGCAGGCCATCAGGTACGGGAGCATGCTGTCCAGGACGCGGGGATCCTGAGGGACACGAAACCACCCAGCCTTAGAAACTGAGAAGGAAAAGCATCTCTGTCCCCTCCACACATGGGCACCCTCCCCCTGCACCAGGATCAGCAGCACTTCTGCTGCAGCCTCTGGCTTTAGCTCAGGCCAGATCTTGAAAACTTGAGGTTATTGCACGTTACACACACAGAGCCTCCAGCAAATGAGTGTCAGGCAATCACGTCCTGTGCCCTTGCACATAACCTCGATCTGCACCAAAACCATCACAGAAGGATGAGATTTTCCGAGAAAAAAAAATCCGAGAAGAAATACAAGGTCTTAAAATGCCAGGAAAAGTTAACCAGGTAAGTACTTCGGTTAAACGAATTTCTTGCCACCCGTCAGATGCCGGTGTGAGCTCCAAGACTGCAGTGCACCTGCAGGCACCGAGCCCCTGTGCACCCCGGGGCGCGGCAGCATCCTCGGCCATGACACAGCAAAGCTCAAAGGCCTTTGGAGAAGACCTAGAGCTGCCCAGGGCCGACAGCCGAAGCAGCCCCTGCCCTCCCAGCCAGCTTTCACTGACGCTGCGGCACCCAGAGGCGCCCCCAGGGGCGCAGGGAGAGCCTTAAACTCAGCGAACATAGGAGCGCTCCAGATAAAACAAAGTTTATTTCTCCCCTTCCCCTTACACTTGCTGTTCTTCGGGGGGGAAACCCGTGGATTTGGGGGGCGAGGCAGCGGCTGCGGGAGCACGGACAAGCAGGAGGCTCCGACACCGCGACCCGAGAACGCGAGAGGCCGGGGCAGCTCCGGCGCGGCCCAGCCCTTACCAGCGGGGTGGTGGCCTGCACGTCCATGTAGAGCGGCCGCAGGGCGCCGCCGCCATCGTCACTTGGCGCTGAGGGGAGGGAGAACGAGCCGCCGTCAGACACTCACGGGAAGAACGGGACCGCGCTCCGCCGGCCGGGCCCGACAGCGCTCGGGCTGCGCGCCGCCCCACCG